CTTTGGGAGAACATTTCACTCCTAGGTTCGTAGAGAACACGGCGTACAGGTGTTCAGTCTTGCCCTCTTTGTTGTAGTTATATCGCTGCACGTAATGTGATTTAAAAAAGGTTTCCGTAAGCCAGCGGGGGTCGATTCTCAATATCTGTCGGTAGTGGCCCCCACAAACGTCCAGCTTTCACTGTAGAGTCTGCAGAGCCGAGATTGAGCAACTTTGTCCCCACTTCGATGAGGATTCCCAACCGCTCTCGCCGTATGTACCTTCTTCATCCCTAAGCGCAACCCTCACAACAACATTTTCATTGAGCTTACCTCGATCAGATCAGATGGCAGGGCCGAAACTCTTTTCACCAACTCTTGATCATGGAGGAAAAGCCATCCGATGGGTTTCCGGAGCGTACCCAGCACCCGATACGGAGATGGCGGATTGGATCAAGTCGGCCTCGACTGTTACAAAGAAGGGAGATATAGATGAATATGCGCACCTCATGTGGTCCCGGTGTCTAGGCCTCGCCTGGCTAGAGCTGCCGGTTTTCTGAGACTTTTTCTCGCGCACGCAGTTTCCAATGCTACCATTTTATTTTTATTTTAGGTTGAAGGTTCCATGGAAAATGTGGCTGAATTCCATGGGTAAACACTGAGCTGAGCGGCTATCCATCACGGGCAATGTATCAATGATCTTTCAGGTAACAAAAGAGGCAAGGAGCACTGTACAAGATGTGGCTTGAGTCAGAGAGGAGCACAACGTGCCAGATAGTTACAGACTCAAGTAGCACAACGCCTCTCTATCTCCCTGCATGTCCTATATATTTATAAACTGAGACAGGAATCTATAATCTGATAATAACTTACTTTTCTTTCTCTACGCATACTTAGGTGAACACCAACATGCTTCTCTCCTATCCTAGATGGGAGGGGTATTGATGATTCTAAAACCAGCAGACCCTGTCAGGCTTTACCTGATGCTTATTATCCTAATGGCTCTCTGGGAATATCTAGGTGTCTAGATCCTTGATATTTACAGGCCGGGAGCAGCTACACCTCGAGTAGTGAGCTTCACTGATGGCTTCTTTCAGCGATGATGCTGCTGTAATGTTTATTTGAAACCACGTGAGTCGCGATGTTGACATAGCCCAATTTGATCGACGAACTTGTGCATGTGAGATTCACTCACCTGTGAGGGCGGAAGACAAGACAATAATTAATCATTACCTAACCACCACGTTGCAACTCAGTACTATTGATTCAAACAATACTTAACCCTATCAAAAATTATCCCCACGAATCCTTTTTGGAGTACACACTAAGAGGAGCCGTTATCACGTCATAATCTCCCCTTTCATGTCTGTCAGACTTTAGTCTTTCGTGAGTGTGTAACTACACGAAAATTTCCCAAAACCGCTGAGTTCGGTGCTCTCTTAATGCAGGTATCAGGACTAAGCCCCGAGACTTGGCTGTCCCCCTGAGGCGTACGAAGAGGACGGCCAGCTAGGCGCAGCAGGGCTGTGTTTATGAGCATTTCTCAACCTACCTAGCTTTCCTACAAATCTTTCCCGAAGGAAGTGATGAAATGCCAGAAAAGTCTTGGTCGAAAGTTATTGTCATAAAGAAGCCATGCCTAGCGTCCATTATTCGGTACAAGTGTGGATTTTCCTGGTAACTTATGTAATTTAGATACCCTACTGGCTAGCATAGTCAGAATTAATGATCAAAGCCGAATTTGTTGTCAACTCCTTATCTGTTCTTCTTGTGGGTGAAAGGATCTTTTTCTTTGCTTTTCGGGTCTTTTATTTGCCTGGCGGTGGTGGATAATATCTTTGTGATATGACGAGGGCGTCTCTGACTACCCTTAGAGTGTTTGGTACCGGAATATCCCTCTTCTTTCCTAGCATCATTATCGACGTAGAAGTTGTTGGGAGCGTATCAGCAGGAGAGGAGACGACTCAGCTCAAATTTGAAAAGGGGTCGCTTAATCACGGCTTTGAAGACTCTTTAGTGCAGGGTGGAAGTCCGTAGTGGGAGATTCTGACGGACGTTGGATTTGTTATCGAGGGATCTACTCCATACAAAGATGACCACATAGTCGACGGGCGAATAAGGCATCACTACGTCAGCGCGTCTCAGGGGCCCGTACCTGTCTGCTCAGGTAAGCAGCCTACGCGAGTCTCGGCAGACAAGCGACGTCTCCACTAGATTGTTGTATTCCTCACAATGCCAAGTCCCTTGCCAGCCGCCGCCGCATCACAACATAACCCGACGCTAGATCTCCTCAGCCAAAGCTGCACCCGTGTCAATCTGGCAAAAGAAAGCATCAACCTACTCGGGGCCAAGGGAGAAACTGCGGTGGGGTCGAATGGCGCGCCGGACTTAGTCTACTTGTGCGTGAGGCCAGGGATCACGTACCAGTCAGTCTGGCATCCATGCAAATACCCGGTGCTCTTCACCAGAAAAGCTCACTTTGTAACTCTCCCATGCTCCCCCAATTCTAAGTCGGAATCATCATCATGGGCACGAGAGGAGATGCAGGGACTACAGAAATAGATAGAGTCAAAATCAGAAGTTTAATGACCCAGTCTGGGGTGGTCTAGTTATTCAGACAGGACGCAGCATAGATGTCTTATGACGGTTAACCTGGCCCTACTCTTATCGGGGTCCATGGATCACAAAGTAGCCAAAGTACTAGCTTGCTGATTTGCGAAAAAGCAGCTTTCTGCTGCTAGCAAGATGGCAAAATTGTAAATACCTCACTGGCGAGTAGGCTCATCTGGTCAAAGCATAGTTTAGCCCTGCATGAACAGCAACACGCCGAAAAAAGAGCTAAAATCATCCTGATGAAATGCGGTTAAAAAGAGAGGGCATCACGTTGTACCGATAACTGACTAGACGGGTTTCTGCACATGAAAATCGAGGATACAATTGTACGGAGTCTCCGTGGCTGCAACACGTAGCCGGGTAGGCTTGGGATAGCCGTGGCGGGACATGACAACAGCCCAATATAGGCAGGGCGTCACTGGGTAAATAATCATTCACTAATAGTAAAGTCGATTGATGGCTCCATGGCTGTGGCCCTAGAACTGCAGGTTTGCAAGGCACCGAATAATGAAGCTTCATGGGCTGGAGGTGCAGCTGAGACGAAAATGGTTTGGCTTCAACTTCCGACCAACCATCTTGTTTCTTGCTTTTTTCCGCCCGCCTTGGGCATGTACATGGCAGTTCCTGCGGGCCTCGTGCAACCAGAGTACGATGTGCATGGTGCTAGGGCCCTAGTCTGGCAGGCAAAGACCAAACGTGGAGCTCGCAAAGAATCCGATTCAGTTTGTTCGACGCGAGCTGGAAAGTAGTGGGGATACGTCACTGCGACCGACCTAACCTATGACGCAGTCTCGCATCACGTGATCAAGTCACGCGTTTCATATTTTCGAATAAACGTTTGTTATATCTTCTTGGGTCGGAGAGAGGAGGCGCGGGGCCTATGACGGTGACTGACAAAGCGGATCGCAGTCCATACTTTGGAGTCGAAGTATCGCTGTACTTCGACATTACCAGTGCACTATTGGCTCAGCATGGCGACGGTTCTCGGTGCCGGCCAGGCTTGCCCAGGACAGCGCGAGGCTCGAGCGTCGCGACTAGAAGGAGAAGCTCTAAGCTAAGTAGTGCCGTAGCATAGAAGCATAGAAGATTTCAGCAGGAGGCCGCGTGATCTCGCATGAGAGTATCTACTGATGGCACGAGCGAGCGAGCGGTAAGACAGTGGTGCAGCAGTAGCACACAGCCGATGCGGGAGGAGCCGAGATGCTAGTGACGCTCTGTGACGCCCATGGGACCAGGCTAGCCGTCCTTGTCGTAGCCTCCAGCGGTCACGAGGAGCCTTGCCTGATAGAGACAGACGGCTGCAGTAGCTGCTTTCGTCGGAGTTCCTTGCTAAATCTTACGCCTGAGGCCGAGAGCCACATGGGGTAGCCAGGATGCCGGCAAGCCTATTCCCATTCCAATTTCACTGACGTATAAGTGGGCTACGCGTGACTCAGATGCGGCTGCTGGGATAAGGATCTAGGGAAATAAGATCTAAGATCAAAGATCATCCTCCCCGCCAGGAGATCGACCCAACCACTAGACCGAGGGCACACTACGCCGTAGCCGCGACGATCGGGCTGTCGTTAGGAAAGTCTCAACCTACGCCGGGCAAGCCTCTTCTCGCTCATCCTCGTGCTCGCCAGCCTCACGAGCGCGTGTGGACCGAAAGTTCTTACATCGCCATATCTTGAGACGCGCAGGGGCACGTCTAACGTGTCGGGAAGCTGGACAACGGGAGGGCCATTTCCATTTACTGACCTGGCTGGTCCCGGACAGCTACCGCCGACCTCCACTCTCAGGCTGGTCTGTACAGCAGCCCGTGCACACGCACGCACTTCAGCTGCCACTGACGCACGACCACTTCAAGGGGCGCCAGGGTCACTAGTCAGTCATGCGGCCACTCAGTTGAGTCACCCCTGCGGGGCTGCGTCCTTGGCGCCAAGTTGGAGCGACAAGGAGACTTCCCTTGTCTGCCACAACCGGGGCGCTCAGAGGCACCAGGTAAGTGTCACGTCGAGCAGACCATCCAACGCTTTGCTGCATTTGTCTTGTGCTGAGCGAGGACGGCGAGAACTCGCACGCTATTGTCCTGCATCGTCGTTTCCTCAGCCAATTTGGATGCGGTCAGGTGTTGCCGGGCTAGACCTATCTCGCGGCAACGTGCATCCGGAGACGAGCCAGGCTTGGCATTCTTGGCAGCAATCCGAGCATTACGCTGCCCTTCAAACCGCAATTCTGCCCATAGCCGAGTCTTCCAAGCTTCCCGGCTTGTCGAGTCCAGCCCATCGTCGCCCACATCCCCCCCCTGCTCGAAGCGCCATCCTAGCACATGCGCTATCGAGCTTCTCTGATTGGATTGCAGGCCAAAGCCGACGCTCCGCCACCTGCTCCATGTGCGGAACAGCGGCGATCCTCTGAATATCTCCATGCCAAACGAGATGACCACATCCCTTATCAAGATAAGCCTAAAATTATGGGAACATGGCCTCCAACACTGCCAGCCCGTCGAGCCTTCTTCACTCTGTATAAAGCAGCTCCCTTTGCCAATTCTAAAGCCCATATTTTCCATTACTCAAACTCCAGACTCTAAACTCCAATCTTCTAAATCATACCCATCAATATACATTTTTCTCTCGCAACTACTCCTAACCATGTCCACCTCAAGTAAATCAGGTAACAATCCGCTCATCCTCCCAACCAACCACTTTCCTAATCTTCACACTTCAGTCCGCTCTCCGTCTGTCTCTTCGACTGCATCTAGCAATTTCAGCTCGATCGAGATGCCCATGGGCTTTTTGGAGCTCACCACACCTCACCATCACCGTTCTGACTCCACGGCCTCGTCAGACTCTTGTGACGGCTTTCTACAACTCACACCAACTGTTTCCACAGCTCCAAACCTCTGGGTCGCTGCTCAAGCAGGCGCCGAAGAAGCACAGTCCCTGGACTTGACCAACTCGGCCGATAATTAGATTCCTTGTCAAAGGTATTGTTTAACGTGAGCCTCGCAATGATCATTCAAGCTGACACCACAAATAGTAGTATGATCATAAAATAATTTAACGAATCATTTATATCCCATAGCTTTTGGAAATATCATGCCATGGGACACGGCCGACAGCCTCATTAGAAGCCTCGGTTCCCAAACTACGGGCCGAACAAGCTCGGCTTCTAGAAATGATAGTTCTTTCCTCAAAATATGACTCTTTGACGTAGAGTCACCTCAATCCGCCTTAGCGTGTTCTCGCAACAAACGAGACCCAGGAGTACATCTAGACTGGAGAAAGTACGACATACGGTAGACTTTGACGAAAAAAAAGAGAACACTAATCAATTTTATTCCACATCTGCTAGGCTCAGCATGGGATCCTATCTTTTAATTTTATTGTTGAAAGAGCATCAATGAGGGATCTTGCTCACTACTGTAATTCAAGGTCAAGCGTTGGTCCCTGCCATGTTATCTGGCGCATTCCGAGTATGCTTAACGTTAGGAAACTACTATTGTATTATTAATGTTTAAATTACATTGAAATTGTTCGATGAAACCATGGGAATGAAGTTTATGCAGACTTGACAAATTAGACCTCATATCGGTCAATATAATCTTGCGTTGACCGCTCTGAACATTCGTACCAGCATAGGATAGTCATGTTACAAAACAAAAGGCTATTTTGAATACCATGCTGTTTGAGACAATGACTATGTAACTTAGACTCCTCGAACTAGGCCATGCATTGCACCATGATCCTAACCTCTTTTACTGCGAAAAAAGAAGTCTGATGTACTTTCTCTGTAGCTATTGAGCTCTGGAATTGCCCGAAAATTCAAACCTCCATTTCTACGTAGACTATATGCGTGAGAAATGTCTACAAGAACTCTGCAGTCCTAGCCGCACAAAGTGCGTATTTCCATACCTCTCTTGTTACAAGAGAATCAAACTTGATTCGATCCACCATCACCACCACCATGGTGGAGGCTGAGTATGCCCAGAAACTCGTTGCACATTCTATCCATGGCCAAGAAAATTAGTTAGCTGATAGGCTGGGCTTTATCAGTACCGTCTGATCTGATGGTTCGCTTCATGATGACGGTACGATAGAGATATTGTAGGTGTTCCGCGACTTCGACTACTCGGCAACAAAATTTGTGTCTGAAAATACTCCATTATGTTAGAATTTAGAATAATTGGGGCTATCAAGTAATACACATTGTTGATATACACGTGACTACAAATTCTGTACTTAGTTTCACTTCGGTAGTTGAATCAATGCGCTCTACAACCTCAATGACTGAGGCGTCATTATTTCCTTAATACATTATTTACTTTTACGCCGCGCCACGTGAGCCAATCAAGAGCGCATAATGTGAAATACTGGGTTCCCATCAGCCTGCATGCACAGCGTGCGAAGAGATGAAGAGGTGAAGCTCGCAGGTTGCTTAATTACTGCCAGCGTCCGGGTCTCGTTGTTTCTGGTACCGTTTTGCTTGTTTTTTCCATGGTCTGCGCGGTCGCTATGCTCTGCTCGCGGCGAGATAGAACTGCTACATAGGCACTCGACCTCGCTGCCTATCGCTTCACAACGACACGTCTCTCCTCCATCCATGATCATACGCGGCTATGAAATGCCCAAACCTTCACCCAAAGGCCAAGCTGGACTTGAATAACTGACTGTAGGATCACGTATGCGGCGGCGGCGGCTATGGCTACGAGGGAAGTACAGTCTGTGGCTTTTATGTTGAAGTATCAGTCACTGAGCCCTAGAAGGCATGTGACTTGATTAATAAGCTGGGCTAAGCTAGGGTCTGTAGAATGTATCGTAAATGTAGAACACATCAGTTAGTATGATGATTGTACCAAATAAGCTTCAGGCATTTACCAGCAGCACAGTATTCTAACCATATCTTCCTTCCATATTTTGCCATGGAGCTGTTGTTCGATGAATGATCTTTCGAATGCTCCCGGCGTTCACGCGTGGGCGAATGATATGGAGATGGAATAAATTACTTCTGAGGCGCTCGTCTCCGTGACATGGCAGGGAGCTCCTACACACAACTGGTCCTTGCCACCTATTTCCTAGTCCAGCATAGCAAGGAGGGACATTAGAATAATAGTCACACGCGCCAGAAGATATGATTAACCTAAAGGGACAGTCTATTGCATAACAGTCATGTCAATTACAACGGCCCTCTCTTACCCTGCGCCATGGGCCGTGCCGTCGAGCCATCATTAACTAATTGACGTGTATTCAGTTTCTTAGATATGGGGCTTGGTCAGTGTCTTGACTACGTGTATCGACAAGCTAGTGTACCCTTTCTACGGCGGGTTAGATGACCTGTGGGAATCAATGGCTCACGAAACAAAAGACTTGATATTTCGTTTCGAGTCAAGCTCCATTCATCCACAATTTTGATCACAAACACGACCTCGAATACTTCAAATCTAGATATGCGCTAGGCAGACAAGACCTGCAATTCTCAACAAAGATTAATGGCATTGACCAAAAAAACCAGTCCCTATTCGTAGTCTTCAACGTGTTACATGATCCTTTGGGCTTCAAAGATATTCATACCCTGAATTTCTTTCGCAGATACTACCATGAGGTACGATACTTGCAGCAAACAGTTAAGCCTTGTCTATGCATAACTAAATGGAAGTATCAAAATCTCGGTCGTCCATGCACACCAGCACAGCGAGAAAGGAGGTCAGCACTTGATGGCTTCAACCAGCCATTTCCTTCTCTAATAGGGTTAGTGTTCAATCTTCGCAGAATCTAATTGGTAGAACAGCCCAGACGCTGTACCACTGCACCATCCAACCCGATGCCATGTATTGCACGATGTCACGCTTGTCGGGGCTGTACTCATTCTGACAACCCTCACGTATATTGTCAAGATCCGCCTCGCCAGATTTGCGCGCCGTGACTAGTTTCCTTGGACGGCTATTCGTATTGTCATGAGCGCGATTGGACGCTAGGCACTGGGTTAGTGAGAGCCCTCATCACTCAAATGAGAATGTGCTAGGACCTAATTGGAGGCTAGATAAGACTCTGATCCGAGTTGACTCTGTTGGTAGTTAAGAATTCATATGGTGAGGAGCCTTGAATAATCGCCTCGCGGCTGTACCGGCATGTACAGGCGTGCAGAAGATACTAGAACCTCCGAAGAAGGAACTAGAAAAGTTCCCCTATGAGCAAGAATGAGATTGAAGCTCGGAGAAGCTGCTAGAAACTATATCCTTGGAGTAGCAACTGAAATTATCTAGGAGTGAGTTGACCGCAGAGGGAATAGCTTGGAACGCAATGAATTTGTATAAACACCTAGCTTAGCATGTACAACTTGGCTCGCCGAAGTTGAATTGTAAAATACTATCATCCATACAAATGCTCTCTGCCTTCTACAATTGATGCGTGACTTTCATGGAATGATCACAGGGGTTAGAATGACGGATTAGTGTTGCAGATAGGATGGCTCGGAAGTTGTATTATACTAGATAATTACAATTAACTATTGTTTATTACATCATAGTCTCTCTAGAAACGTTCCAGCTATGTTCAGTACACCCAGATTACTGAGCAATTCCCTTTCACGTTAAGATCGAAGACTGACTATTCAACAATTACTATTAGCACCCAAATCTCGCAGGTCTGAGTGGAGAGAGGTAACGTAACAGTGAACTACGAGCATGTGCACAACAAAGCGTAGCCTACAGTCTAGTAGCCTTCTCCACGCAACATCTTCTCAATATTATTATTCTTCTAGATATTCTATCGCTTCTTGCGGAAGACCTTGACCCCCTATTTACTCACACTTGTACTCCATGAACGACTAGCGTATACATGTCACAAAGGTGGATCTGGTTTGCTGGATGCGTAACAGGAATAAGTCACAAGGTTAATGTCGAATGGCCTAATGACTTAATTACCTTTTGTAAGCAGACGTAAGTTTATTATACGGGGGTGCAGTTCATAGGCAAGATGCAGATCTATAACAGGGATATTGAACTTACTGATTGCGCATATGGGGGGCATTGAAGAAGGTACTAGAATAGCCTCATACACTAGTTGGGGGTGACAAGGGATTACAGAGAGAGGTATTAAATCATACTCTTGTAGTAGTATAGAAGAATAATATAGTGAGTTATTTTGATGATTAATTGCCTTCTCGATCTGGCTCAGTTCTATACAGTCACGTGGCCTTCGCATAATTTTGCTGTGAATTCTTACACCTTTCATGTATTATCTTTGAAATGATGACTAATTATGTTGATGAATAATGAGTTACCTGTTTAGGAATGGCGTCAGGAGAGAGACAACTGCTGTATATACGTGTTTCTTTTAGTTAGAAGTGAAGAAATAGAAAATATATGTTAACCACCAATTGTTATTACTGCTACAGAAAGCTTGTGATATAATACCATTCGAGTATTCCGACAGGCAAGTAATCAGGATAGGTAACAAGTATATGACTGTGTTGTGCAATGGGAGAGTAAAAGATGTCTATGTACACGAGAAACAACCAAATACCCAGACACTTCACAATAACCTAATATGGTACTTGGTCCCGTGACAGTACTCCCCTCCAAATAATGTTTGGTCTCCAAACTTCAAGTCTAAGATCTATTTCATAATAAAATAAGCTCATCAAATTAGAAAATCACATGGTTTATTTAGCTGGTCGTCGTTGTCTTTCTGATCAACGTAGCTGTCGCCTTGGATTTCGTGGGGGTTTTAATGCCATTTTTACCCATGCTGGCCGGCCGGGTTTATGCGGATTCTTTCTATGAAAATTTTGGAGTGCATTTTCGCAGCCTTCTAGGTCTAATTCTGGCTGCCAAGATGGCTCGTTGTTATACTTCCACTTGATGAGATAAGTCAGACCATTTTTTTCAATATCTTTGTCATGTATGTCAATTATCTTTTCAAATATCCATTTATCAGCAATATTACCATCGTCATCTCTTTGAGCAATACGC